AGGCAACATTCTAACAAGGTAAATTTTTACTAGCAGGCAATTTTTGAAAACTTCTGCTTTTTCTCTCTAATGTGCATTTTGACTCTTTTTTTCTTCCTTTTTTTCCTTCTGATCTTTGTCGTATGGAGTTGTTTCTACATTGTTATTCCATTCAAACACATTCACCCACTTTCTACCTAAGACTTGGATTTTGGGTGTCTTTGCTTTGTGTCTTCTTTACTGTCTTGCGTTCCTCCAGTATCTAGAGAAGATTTACCTTTGGTTGTCATCTCTAGCTTCCACAACCAGGCCTCCCTACTAAATCAGTCCTTACTGCCTCTTCTGCTATGCTGGGCAGGAGAGACTTGGACCTTCTGCGATCTGCAACTTGCTAGGAGAGAGGTCATAAGGATTTGAGCCTGAAAACCAATTCAGATGTTAATCAGAAGTTCTCTTAAGAGAACTGTGGTACTTGTTGCAATGTTATTCTTGCATTCTCCAGGTCATTGTTTGTGTTACTTATTTCCCATCCATGTATTGGTGACGCATTGGTACGCAATGGAGAAAATCATGAACCAAACGTTCATGGTTTCATTGGCAAATATTTGTTGCTTGTCCATTTGTTTTGTGAGGAGATTTTTATTTATTGGATACTTGAGTTGAGACACTTCTTGGGTAGCAGGTAATTTTTTAACTTTTCTTTACGTTACAATTAGCCACATCAGGTAATAAGTAGAATAATTTTTGAGTTATTAGTCTTAAAAAAAAAAAAAAAAACAACATTTATTTTTATGAAAATACAGACAGTGGCTTGCAATACATGTTAATTACTGTTTGCTTACTGTTCTGAAAGACTGTCATCTCCCTTAATCTATTTCTATGTCAGATATTATCTGAGTTAGGATTAACTTCAAAAAAATTTTTTTTAGTTTATGAAGTTTACTTAGATTTACACTGTGTGTTTTGATAAATATCAAGGTTTTTCTCCCTTTTTTCCAACAAATTGCTTATGGCTTTTTCCCGTATTAGACTCTGAGTTAGACTGTGAATAAATCATCTGTTTAGTGTTTTTTTTTCTTTTTTCTTAGAATCACTGCACGTTCTACTTTGCTAGATCACTCATAATATAATGATGCTCAATTTGGATTTCCAGTATTACTCCCTGTTTCCAAGCCAATTTGAATTGATAGGTAGAACTGTCATTAATCAGAGGTACAGCCTTTATGTAAAAAGAAATTGTGAACAATATTTTCTAATAAAATTGCCCCCAATTTATTTCCCTTTCATTCTGTAGTTTGTGCCTTATTATTAACAGGAATGCAGTCACTTTCCCTGCTGGTAATCATGTTGCTTTTTAAGTCACGAGTTTAAAAGTTTACACTTTTTCTTCAGCAGTGTCACAAATGTTGGGAAAGCTGGTGGATTTTTTTCTACAGGTTGCTGTCAAATAGCAACATGTTCCTGCATGGGGTGACTGTCAGCTCAAGACTTCAAACTTGTTTGAAAATTCTCAGCTTTGTCATTTCTGTGACTGACCTCTTTCAAAGGAAGTAAGAGAAATGAACATGAGGCTATCCAGCTAAGCAATGGTCTTTTTACTGTCATTTTTCATCCTCCATGCCCTGTTCATGTGTCTAGCAGTACCTGCTCTGGTTTGGCTAAGGTCCTTGGTTTTGAAAATATTTCAAATACTGTTTTATTCTACCTTCCAACACTGCAGCCCCAGTGGGACAAAAATGCCTTTCAGGCTTTCACTTAGAAGATGTCTGTGAATGAGGCAGTTTTGAACAAATGTCATTTTTCCCTTTTCAGATCCAAAAGTACCACCTGTAATGTGCCTAATTGCTCTGAAATTCAGTTTTTAGATCCTTTGGCAGAGTATCTACTATGAAACTTGTTTTCCTGAGCTAAGGCAACTCTGTTATATAATGCCATATGTGCACGCTGGTAGAGAATAAACACTTTCTCAGGAGCTAGAGAGAAACATGTTACTCCAAATGAAAGGAGTGAGCCTAGAAGAGTCAAATGGGATACATACTCTATTTCCATTTCAGAAGGTTAATATCTTTTTTTTTTTTTTTTTTTTTTTTTTTTTCTGTTTTGTGTTTTTTAGGTGGCTCAATACATTGTTTATCTGTTACAGAGCACTAAATGAATTTTATGAATTACTGCGTTTCATTTAAATATGTCTCTGTCACTGAATCAGTTCTAGTTTCTAACTCTATCTTCTTAATGGATTTGCCAATTTTAGACATCCAAGAACTTAGATCACACTGTATGATTAAAGTTATCTGGCTGCCAATACTTGGATGAATTTACTGGTTTTATAATTCTTGAGGTAAAGGTATATCTAAATTATGGTAGAGCTGACAAGTTTTCATGTTTTAATGTACTATCAAGAGAACATTATAAGTATTGTTAAAGAAATTACAAGCTTTTCATGCGTTAAGATGATCACATTATAGGGACGATAAGAAAAATACATAAATAAGGATTGTTATCTTGATATTGCTAGGAAAAATGTGAAGTCTAGTAGCTACTATGATCCCTAGAACAAATAGTCTCTTAGGTTAACTAAGTGTTTTGCAAATGTAGGTGAAATCTGTGCAGCTCTTGCACACCAGGTTTGTAGAAAGCATTAGAAGTGCAAAGCTGCTTCCCGGTAAATCAAAAGCTATACTTTACCAAAACTCTAATAAATTTTATTCTTTTTTATTTTTCCTTGACAACAATCACAACTCTGTAAAGTGTCTTGAACATGAGCCTACAGAAAAATATACAAGCCCCATTAAGAATGCCTAGAATTATATTCTTTCTAGTAATAATATATTTTTCTGTTTCTAGCTGATATATTCTTTAGCTTCTAATTATCACTCTTCCTTGAGACTTTTCACTTTAAAATTTGTATATATGAAGTTCTGAACTGGACAAAATATTTCAAAGGTCTTTGTGAAAAGGAAGGCTCTATGGAGATCCAAAGCTGTCAAAAACAGTAGAATAACTTGAGCAATGTGCTTCATTTTCATTTGGGTAATATTTTTTATTATGTATGAAGAGTTAGAGTAAAGTTATAGGGTGCAGAATTTTCTTCTCTCTCTTCTTGATTCACTGGCAACCAAAATGTTCACAGCCTTTATAGTATTCCTCTTGACTTATGTGGACTTGACAAGCCCACTTGGTCTTCTATTAATAATTAAATCATGAGACCTGGACATGAAAAATTTACCAAGGCTGTCTTTAATTGCTGCTGTCTGAGTTGTGTTTTTTTCAAAGAAATGTTTTCACCTTGTTTCACATGATTAATCTTGTAATTGAGTTATGGATTAATTGAAGGATTAAGGCTACTGAAACTTAGAATACTTTAGCTACCTATCATGGCAAAAACATTTGGCAAATTCAGAGTTGGTCATGTATTCCTGTTAATTTTGTGGGCAGTTCCTAATCTCATCTATTCAGATAGAAAAAGCAGGGGTTTCTGCTCAAAAGATACACTTAAGAATGCTTGAATGAATGCTTCTAGGAGCCCAGGAATGCTTACTTTTCAGATTTCTTCATTGACACTGCAGTACCGAGATAGTAGGCAATCTTATTTGCTTTTTATCAGGATGTCACAGATGATGGCCTTTGTTAATAATTAACACTGGGATGCAAGGTGATTTTATTTTTTCTTAGTTTCTGCAGGATTTTGTTTTTTCTCTGGGCCTGAAAGCAAGTAAATGGCATAAGCATAAGCCCTGTCCTTTGCCCAGACTAATGTTCTTTGCAAATAAGTAGAGCTATTGCAGCTAAATTGTTTCCATTACATTCATCAGGTTCACCTAGGACTAATGTCTTCTTCCACAGGGCTCCAGCTTGTGTTGTGCAGATAAGATCTTTGTTTTCCTTCCTGAATTAACCCTTCTGCTCAGAGCACTGTTCAACCTGATTTTTATATTGCCTGTTTCTTTCCTCAGTTGTTTGCTTTTTCCTTCATTTCTGTTTCTCTCTGCCTCCTAAGGAAATGACAAATCAGAAACAGTTGAGTGGTCAAGTGTATCTGAAATAAAACAAGCTGATGCATATGGCATGGTTTGGTGGATGGAGCATTTCATTCTGCGTCAGAAAAAACTCCTTTCTCTGCCACTCATTTTTTTTTTTTTCAGCACTGGACAAGATATTTTATTTTAATTTAGGCAGCAGTGAGACAGAAACAATGCTATAAGCTTTTTGTTGAGTAGTTTGACATCCAGGTTTGTAACATGCTATATGAGATTGACTTACCTTTTACTAATTATGGGAGGAGAACTGAGAAGGCCTGTTTATGTGCAGCTGGCATACATCAGAAAGAAAAGCTAAGAAAATAATCCTTTTTTAGGAACCACTTACCTATGGACTTTCTTTGATCTGTAATAGAGCTTGTCATCTTTTCAGATTCTGTCCCAAAAAACATTTTAAAATACATGATAGATGAGCGTGGAAGCCCTGGAGAGTGCAGAACCTATTCATGTTCTGTTTTCTACTGTCAGAAGGAAAGTCCCATAAGAGATGTGTCCTCTGCATGACAAAATTGCAGAAAAGGGCCAGCACTTGTGCATCTTCAGTATTAATCAGTTCTGCTGATTCCAACTTTGGGCATTGCTCAATCTTGCAGATGCAAGGTAGTGTGATACAGAAACCTCTAGGTGATTCTGCTGGCAGAAATTGATGGTCTGACCAAGTTTATTGGGCCTGTCCCTGCACCCATTAGGCTGGATCTGAGCTGGTGTGTGCAGAAATACCTGCGCTTTGGCCTAGTAGTCCTGCTAAGAGAAGTATGATGTTGTCTGCAAACTGCTAGTGTGTATACATAAGGGCGAAGTGACAGCAGCAGTACTTTGGGGATTGCACTGGCAAGAGCTGTGTTAGCGTAGTGCTTGCACCTGACCTGATGAATCTAATTGGATTGAAGCACCTGAGCTTGTTTTGTTCTGCCACCAGGGCTGCAGGCAATGAAGCTGCTCCATAAAAGGCTATCATCTGCAGCTGCTTTGAAGTACTGTCACAGTAATTTTATCACTGAGGGTGCCAACAGAGCCTAAGTTTTTTATTTTGTAGTTTATTTTTTAGTGGCTGGATGCTTATCTTGAGGAACAAAATGAGAAAACAGTAGGTAAGGGCAAGGTTTGGGCAAAGAGTTCTTTATCTTCTCTATTTTTAACCAAGAAGAATAATCTCTCTAAAGAAATGTATGATAAAACCTGCTAAGGAAAGAACAAAAATTTTATGCTGGGGAAGAGCATTGTTTGAAAGAAAAAAAAATAATAATTATCTTTGAGAGAGATGGACATCACGAGATGCAAAACCAGTGAGTTTATTGAATTTGTGATTATGCTGTCTCATAGAACTCATAATTGCTGCAAATAATGAGTGCTGGGTATCAAATGTTATGTTATTCATGTTATTAAAAACTTTCGTGCTGATCAGAATAGATCCTGACTCAGAAGTAATCTGGATATGTTAACTTCTAATGCTATACACTGATTCTTCTGGTAATATACTTCAAAAGGTGATTCAGAAAGTTGAAGTCTGAAAAGTCAAAGAATGTGAAATGAAGCAGTTGCCTGTTATATGTTAGTCTGTGAAATGATAGCACTTGATGTTGAAAAATACTTTCTTGTAGACTTCCAATGAAAAGGAAGTGAAAACTCTGTACTCAGAATTGAAGCACTGCAGTGTAATTTGGGCTATGATCCATATGTATTGTTGTGTTGGAGTGAAATAGAGGCACTGAATGTTCTCATTTGAATTCTCTTGAACAGGCAAACGTTTGTCTGAGTAAAGGATGATATCAGAAAAGAAAGGCAATAAAGCATCAGATCTTTTTGAGCTGAGCCATTATTTTATCTTGTAGATACTTATCAGAAAGAAGTGAGGTCATACATTAGAAATGCATTTTTTTCTCCCGTTGTTCTACAAGAGATATTAGCAGGTATAAAATCGAGTTGTTTTTTTTAAATATTTTTATTTTTATTTTTTTTCCCCTCATCTCTTTTGGTGGTTATTAGGAGGCATTCACTTTATGGAGGCCTTTTCTATCTGATACTGTCTTGAACCTTAATTGTTCTGGTGCAATTCATTTTTTAGGTTTGCATGAATAAAGGATTTAAGGTTTCCTTACTGAGTCCTGCTCTTTCTTGTGCAAAAGCAGCAACTGGTATTTTGTCTTAGTGATAGCTGCTCTCAGAGCAGTAAGAGGGCTTAGAAAGGACATATCCCCCAAGCTGCTTGCTACTACTGTAAGAGTGAGATGTCTCTGGCCACCTGCATGCCACTAGGCCAGGATTGAATACTACCCTTGGAAAATCAGACTATTAGTCTCATGGTCTTGGGTAGCTTCTGGGAAAAGTTATGGTTACTCTTCTGGTGTTCTTTAGACTTTATTACTCAGGTTCTGTCAGGGCTCCAAAGTGCTGTTTCTATGGCTGTGTTTGAGGTTGTCACTGTTGGCTGAGTCCTGGTTTAGAGAAGAGCAAGCGTGTCCTGGCCCTGCCTGTGCATCTGCACAGAGATGTCTGTAATCAATGAGTTGTCAAAAGTGTTCTGAGGTGTCTGTATGAATGGGTATGCACTGAAAGAAATGAGATATTATCTATGAAGAGGATGATACTTAATTAACTGTAGTATAACAGCACTTACCTGAACAATCCATGTGTATTTTTTAACTTTTTTTTAAAATACAAAGTATAATAATTTATATGAAATAAATTCCATGAACTTTATATCTTTTTTCTTTATGTATTTCATTATGTTCCAACCTATCAGTTATCACTTATCTATACAGAAGGTTGAAGTTAATGTGTAAACATGCAATCATTTAGATACTTTTGAAAAATTAAGAACATCCACAATATTAAACAATGTTTCATTTTAATGTAGTTATGCAAAACAGCTTGTTAAGAGACTTCAGTTTAGCAAGTCACATTCCTGTTACGTCTCCACTACTAAAACTTACAAGGTTACATTTACTCTGATTATTCTGTGTTTCCTGGATTACAAAGAACTTCAGAGTTGCCATTTTTTCTTTTGTTTCAAGCTAAAATCACAAATAAACTCCTTTAGAAAATCTATGAAACAATTTCCAAATTTCTTAGAGAAACAGATAATTGTAAATCCATAGGATACTATGGAAATGGACACAAAGAATAGAGTCCATGGAAAAACTCTTCTCTTTAGTCTGCTCCTATTGTAGATACTATTTTAGGCCCCTAAAGTGTTTTGAGGATGAAGTTAGGAATTTAGCATTCATGTGGTATTCAGTCTATAATGAAAAAGTTTTCATGATGATTTCTGTGTGTGTTGCAGATGTGTTTTTGTATGTGTTGGGATTCTCTTATTCTTAAGTGTGCTGGAATAATTAGACCAGAAATCACAAACAGATTGTGGTCCATTTCCTAACAGAAGAGAATGCAGTCCTAAACTTCTGGTATTTTATTTACTGCTGGAGAAATTAAGAAAGATGTCCTGGGCTTGATATACAGTGGTAGGCTCTTTGCATTGGCAACAAAGGTTTTTGATGTAGATAGTGGCTAGAAGAAAAACCTCTACCTCACCTGCCTGTAGCTTCAGATCCCTCCTCAGTCCAGGAGCTTCTCTTCCTCTGCCCTTCCGTGAGCGGGAGACTGCGGTAATGCACTTGATATGTAAAAGCAGCCTACCTCGGGGGTAGCAATTCAGGTAGAAGTATCAGGATTTTATTTTTTCCCTCGGGAGGCTGAGGAGCTGAACAGAATGTAGCAAGAAAAGAGCCTTGTGGAGCTCCTTGTGAAGACCATGTGCAGAATGTGTACTCCACAAGATGCTTTTTTTGTGCAATGTGTGCTGTGACCCAAATCTCTCTTCCCCTTTTGCCTCTGGGGGAGGAGAGGAGGGGGAATACCAACAAAATCAAATACCTTGACATCCTTGTTAGTTCAGTTTTATTTGCTGCTGGGATTCAGCTGCTTGTCTGCAGCATGTGGACTAAAGGAGGAATTAAAGCACTTGAAAAAGCCCAATAAACTTTGAACAGTCTTTTGAAATCAAAACTTACTAAATAGGATTAGGTATAAGAATGGCTGTATAAAACACAGCTCAATGAAGAGAAAATGATCCTCTGTTTACCACAAGTTTCATCATCATATCTTCAAGAATATATTAATATGAGGCAGCAGTAGTGCTGCTAGGATCCCAAGATGCAGCTGTCAAGTAACATCTGCCAAAAATGGACTTGCTTCATTACCTTCAAACTTCTCTGTTGCTCATTAGGTCCCACCAGATGGGGATTCAGTATTTTGAAGTTAGTCATCCTGTATGAAGTATTTTGTTCATGACACTGATGAACAATTATCTGCTCACACAGTTGGGACTTTTATGCTGTTTGTTTCAACTGAGTGCCATTACAGGGCACAGTTTCAACATTCAGTGTAAGAATAGTTGAAATACAAAAGGTCAGGTTATCTGACTACATAAATGAGATTGAAAGTTTTCTGTAGTTTGATGCTAATTTTCCTATAGCAGGATCTATTATTATATCCCTTGTAAGATTTTGCTACGTTTTTAAATTTATTCTACTATTTCAAGTCTTGAAAAACTGCTTACAATTCAAAAATATTGTTCAAACTCATTCAGTATAAGATAAACTGCTGTTCATAATTGTATTTCTGTCAGCTGATAAACATTTAATGGTTTGTTAGGAAACTAATTGTCAGTTTAACCAGGAGAGTGGCAATAATAACCCAGTTAAATATCTATATTGTCACCTGCAGAAGCAACTGTAAATGTGATTCATTCTAAGTCCTGCATGTTGTCTATTGATACCAATATACAGAATCCCACTGGTACAAATTCCAAAACCCACTGAAATGTTTCTATTTTCTGTTGTTCCCAATCCTTATAAGCAAAATATAACAAAATGTCTCTGGATCATGTGAACTGTCCATCTGTGAGATATTGTAATGGTGACTTTATGTGGTATCAGAATTTGAATGCAAAATGTTAAATTGCCAATATTAAGGCAGTAAATGTGATTAAAAACCTGAATGCTAACTTAAGACTTCTTTCTTTCTCTTTTTTTTCCCTTTCACAGTATTCAATTAAAAGATTGCACAGGAAAATCTGTGAGAAATGTGTGTATACAAACACGTGAATGTATATTTGCACATGTATACCCTCACTAGTAAATCATAGTGGAAATTATTAAAAAGAAAGCAATCAAGTGTGTTAAAATAATTCCCTTTAAAGTAAGTAACAATCATTTTCCTGACCAAATGCTCTCTTTGCTGAATTCTTAGTAAACTACATTCTTATTGCTCCCAACAGGAAAATGCATCTAACAAGTCTTCACCCTGAGGTGTGAGAGTCACCATTGGTAGCAGGAGGCAAACTTTTTCACAATAAACATAGATATGACACAATTGTCAACTTTATTTTGGGAAATATACTGTACCTAATTAACTGCAGCAGCACACTGACATTTTTAAGGTCCTTTCTTGGCCTTCATAAAAGAAGTGGAGGAGGAGGCTGTGCCAAAATCTTTCTTGCTCTTTTATTGCATGATTGAGCAGTGGTGTCATTCGACAGCAGAGGACTTTAGGTACTCATCTCTGCTCTTTTTTTCTGGAGCTTTTCCATGGGCTGGTTAGGAAAAAGTAGGATAAATCTTCTCTCTCAGTATGAAGAGAACTGAAGCCAATTTATGAAAAATGGAATTGAATGATGTCACCATCTTCCTTGAAGAACCTACACTAAAAAACCTTGCTTTAAAATTCTAATCTGAAAAAATCTAATCGTCTAAATGGAAGCTAATTCCTTCTCTTTGTGATTTTATTTTCCCTTCAAACTTTATTAAACTGTGATTCTTTTGGTTTTTAATAACAGGTTTTGAGGCCCAAAGAGAAAAAGCAGAATCTCTGTTGAAGATCTTGGAATTAAATAAAGAATTAAAATACTTATTTTCCTCTTAATAAATAAATAAAGATTTCATTTTCCTTAATGGGTTAAAAGTGAACCCAGGTTTTAAATTTAAAGCATCTAGGAACCACAGAGTATTTGGAGATTAAATCTGTTCAGCAAAATTTTTCCACTACAACCAGATCATTTGTGTATGATTGGTTACAGATATGGCTATGTAGTTGCAAACATTTAGAAACTGTTAAATAAAAAAATAATGGTTTGATCCAAGTCTAAATTGTTTGACCATGAAACATGACGAAAATTCTTCTCTGGTTCAAGCTTTAAAGTAGCTCATAATATTCTATGCCTTTCTTGAAGTTTCAAAGCAAATTTCTTGGTGTATAAATTAAAAATAGAAATGATTGGTTGTTATGTATCCTGACTGAGTCAGATTTACCTCTTTTGCATTGGAGGTATTACCTTGGAGCTGAGAAAAGAGCCATGTTGGACAACTCCTAGTAGAACATAATTCTACTAAAAATTGTTATTTACTGAAAATTCCTTCCCTCATCTTTTCAAACAATAAGCAAGGACTGTGCATAACTGTCAAGTGCAGTTGGCATGGGTGCTGACTGATGAGTTTTTCTGCGTTTTGTATCTAAGTGCTGGAAATGCATCTTTCAATGCTCTTTGGAGTATTATTCTCAGTTGATGGTGCAGCATGTAGCAAAAGCAGGAGGGTGGCAACTCTTCAGCCTTAGTGGTGAATTCTAGAGAATCATTGCTGTGCAGATTAGACACTGCCTCAGGAGGACAGGACTTAACTTCACTACTAGTACCACTTACAGCTATGCAACTTTATGGATTGCAGTATGTTTTCCATTTATGGCAGTAGAAGTCACAAGCTGGCTTCCACAAGCATGAAGAACATCTGTGTTTCCAGGTAAGCAATGCTGTGGTGTATCAATAAGGCCCATTATTTATTTATTTATTTTTTCCCACTAGCATTCTTTATTATTCTGTATACTGAAGGATGGGATCTTGCTGAAAATGCACCAGTGGAAGCCTGACTGCAAGACTGAGGCTGAAGGGGGTAAATCCAATATTTAACAAAAAAAATCCATGTGTTAGTGGAAAGTGTGTGAATTTCAGTGGATGTCTATGCATGACTATGCATTTCCTCACATTTTCTAATGAAGATTATTGTGTGGGCTCAGCAGTAAAAAGATAGTTTCTAGACAGGAATGGGAAACCTCAGCAATCCAGAAGCTTTTAACCTGGGACTGTGAATTTTAAATGCTCACTCTCTTCAGAAATTATTTAAAATATATTCAGTGCATTTATGCACATCTGAAAACTGACCCTCATGTATAGCAAAAATATCTTGCACAGAAGTCGAACATCAATATTTCAGTGTTTCATTTGCTTTGTTGAGGAACCTCATCTAAAATACAATATCAATTTTGTAGCTCTCAGCTGCCATTTCCCTCAAGTTAGATAAAAGGTAGCTGAGCACTGTAAATTTAAGGCATAGTCTCTGGCGGAAGTGAAGCAGGAAAGCTGTTTTTGTTTCCTACCTTCCTCTGCGTGCCAAAAGTCATTTAAAGCACTTTAAAATTTTGTTAAACATTTAGTTAAATGTTTTAAATCAATTTTTACTATGAGAGGAAGTACATTTTGGTTAAATTGCAGGCTGTGAGATCTGGCAGTTTTACTAGCAGTTTGTGACACTTGCCTTTACTTCTCCCAGGGCTGGATTGTTTCATATATAATTTACTGTGACAAAATACTGGCTCTACACTGTCCATAAATATCAGCCCATTAGCAGTGTGTAGCTTTTTAATGGCTGCATAATATTCTTGGACCTGGAGATAAGGGAACAGTAAACAACTTTTTGGTTACAAAAGGAGCGCAGCAGAAGTATTCTTCCATAAAATCAATTTATTGTAGTTATATGGCTATTTCATGACAACTTGCACCTATGTGCATACAACCATTAATCCTTTTTACCTCAGTCATATTAATATTTTTGAAAGCTTTGGGCTCATCTCATGATGGGCAGAACTTGGCTCTGTATGTTCACTTCATAAAAAAGAGTAAAATGTTGTTCATGTAGTGAGCCCCCTTATGAAACTACAAAGTGCCAGCAGAGAAGTGGATTGAGACAGATTTTGATAAGTACAGATGGTTTCTTCTCATGCATAAAGTATGGGTAAAAAGACCTGCAGCATATGAGTAGGAGGCAGACAAATATGCAGCATTTGAGAAAAGTACATAGCTTATAATAATAAACTTGTGGCTTTCTGCCATGTCTTAGTTCTAGAGCTGCAAGGTTAAAAACAATAAAATTAATATAGCTGGAAGTCAGGTTGCTGTAAAGATCATTTCAACTGGGATAGCAGTTAAAATGAGGAAAAAATAGGTTTTCTTGCCTTTAAAAAGTTATTAGCTATACTTAAAACAAAAGAAAAATAAGTGGGGATAAAAAAGAAAATTTTCATTTATCTCAAGCAAAAGTTACATCAGAAAAAAATGTTTATAAACTGTATTTCTCTATGAAATACCAACTTTGAAATAATTACAAGTATTGAACCTAGGCTATACACCCAGATCACTAAAAGGATTATTAATTCAAATACAAAAGCAATATACTTAGTCGGAATAGTGTTTATGTAAACTAGTCCTTTACAATAAAGAACAATCCTATTATTTTATTTTTTTAAAGGAACTTAAAAAGATAAACAATAGGGTAAATAATAGCAAATATTTTTGGGTATCTAATATCTCTATACTTATTTGTTGTACCTCTTTGTCCTAGAAACCAGTCCAAGTCTCTGAAGTTCAACTTCCATACTTTTGAAAACTACTTTCTGTGGTCTAGACCTTGTCTACTGGATGCTCGCCTAAACTTTTATTTCCTTAGAATTACAGTTGCAGAATGGCTGAGGCTGACAGGTCCTCTGGCCTAATCCTGGACTCAGGCCCATGTCCAGGCAGCTGCTGAAGGGGGAGCAGAACCCACACACAGCTTCTGGGCAGCCTGAGAAAATACTCCATCACCTGCACAGTACAGAAGTGCTCCTTGGAGGAAACCTCCTGAGCTCCAGCTTGTGCAAACTGCATCATGTTTGGTGGCGCCCAGTGCCAGGAGAGCACCTGCCTCTGTCTTCTATTGAGCTATCCCTTCAGATATCTATAGACATTAATGAGAACCCTTTGAGCTTCCTCCAGGATGAATAGATCTCTTTTTACAGGATCTCCGCATAGTAGAGATGCTTCAATACCTTAATCATCATGGTCATTCAGGTCCAGGTCTTTCTTATAATGAGGAACCCAAATGTGGACCCAGAACTTCAGGTATAGGCTCATCAGTTCTGAACAGAGGGATAGAGCCACCTTGACTAGCTGGCAATGGTTTGCACAGTGCATCCCAAGATACCATTAGCCTTTTTAACACTTAGGACAAATTGCTGGCTCTGAAATCCATCAGGACTCCTAGGTCCATTTCTGCAGAGCTGCTTTCCAGTTTCTTGGTGACAAGCATGTACTGGTGCATGAGGGTGTTTTAACTTTTAGTAGTGAATGTTCTGCAAGCTCTTCAGGCAGTCTGTTCCAGAAGAAAGTAAATGAATGAAAAATTAAGATTAGGTGGGGTTTCTTATTCTCATTTTCCTGCAGCATTTGGAGATCTCTTTCTTCATGTTGTCTCTCTTTTTTGAGACAGAATTTCATTCTATTTTTTATTATTTTAAATATTTAAAATATTTTAAATATTTCTATGTCTATCATCATTTTCCTGAGACTTCTAGTCATATTTTTCCGAGTATTTTCTTTTAAGTCATATTTCCTAGATCATAATCTGCATAACTTTCTGATCATTTTTCTGCTGTTTTTTTTTCCTCTTGACTTTCTGTTGGACCACAAGTCTAGTTTTATTAAAGAGTTAGTTGGTATAGAGTGAAGAATTAACTCTATCTTACATCAAACGTTCCAGTTTAGAAATTGTGGCATTTATTTTTTGTTTATTTTAATGATATAAAAGCTGGAAGACAGTTTTATCCACTTTTATTTTTTCCTTCTTCCTTCATCTGCTTTCATCTGGTGTGAAGTGTATTTGACTTTAACAAAGCACTATGATTTAGCTCTAGCGGGCAGCTCAGCACTACATAGCCACTCTCACTCCTGCACAGCAGGATGGGAGAGAATCAAAATGTGAAAACACATAGGTGGAGAAAAACAGTTTGTGAGGTAAAGCAAAAGCTGCTTGCACGTAAGAAGTAAAACAAGGAATTATACAGTCACAGAATTGCAGGTATTGAAAAGGACCTCAAGAGATTCATAGCGTCCAACCCCTCTACCTAAGCAGGTACCCTACAATATGTTGCACGGGTAGGTGTCCAGAAAAGTCTTGAATATCTCCATGGAAGCAGACTCCTCAACCTCTCTGGGCAGCCTTATCCAGTGCTGTGTCACCCTTAATGTAAATAAGTTCTTCCACGCGTTTTATGGAACTTCCTGTGTTCAAGTTTTAGGCCATTGCTCTTTGTCCTATTGCTGAGAAGAGCCTGGCCTTATCCATTTGTCTTCCAATTCCCTTTAGATATTTTAAAGTAGTTATAGGATCCCTTCTCAGTCTTCTTTTCCCCAGGCTGAACAGTCCTAGGTTTCTCAGTCTTTCCTCATGCAGGAGACATTCCAGGCTCTTTATAATCTTTGTGGCCCCTCTGCTGGACTCCTTCAAGGAGATCCTTTTTTTTTTTTAACCGCGGAGCCTCACTACTCCAGATGTGGCCCTACCAGACATGCTGGCCACGCACTTTTTAATGTAACAAGAGTGCCACTGGCCTACTTGTCTACAAGGGCACAGTACTGGCTCATGTCCAATCTGTTACCCACCAGGACACCTTGGTCCTTCTCTGCAGAGCTCACATTTCTTCATTTCTCTCAGCCATTTCCAAAAAAGCAGGGACAATCATGCTTAATGGTTACTTGGGAAGAAAAATCCATTACTCTAAACATACTCCCCTCCTTCCTCTTTTTCCCAGATTTTATTACTGAGCATGACACGTGATGGTACAGGAGAGTCCTTTGGGTAGTCTGGGTCAGCTGTCCTGGCTGTGTCCTCTCCCAGTTCTTTGTGTAATGTCCTGCTTGAATTTATAGGAGGGAGCAGAGGTTCTTTTAATATCTATATGCCCAGCATGAGATTAAGAAACAACGGATCAAATGTTGGTCCCACCAGTTTATCTTAATTAGGGAGAAGGGTAGGGGAGGACGGACATTACTATGAATTAGGGTAATGGGAAAGGGAAAGAGGACGATAGAAAAGATAGGAAAGAAGAAGCAAAGAGTCTTTGTAGGCAACAAGAGGGAGATAGTCACCACCGTGGGTCCAGTGTGATTCGTAGTTCAGCCACTGATCTTCAGTAGTGGTGAGTTGTCAGGCATTGTTGTTCTGTTGACGATGATGACGACCACAGTTATGATGATGACCCCTTTTCAATGGCTCCAAAGTGGTCGAGTCAGCTCTCTTTGGAGTGACAGCTCAAATCCAAAGTGGTTGAGTCAGCTCTCCTTGGAGTGGCAGCTTCTGGCTTTGGGATCTCAGTGGAAACTCCTTTGTTCCTATCTTCTCGGCCTTGCCAGTAGATAAGAGGGAGCAGGGAGGTGCTCACTTGTATCTTGCCTTCACAGGATACAATGGTATCATCCCCCAGTTTTCCATAGCAAGCTGGAATTATTTGGTCACAGGCCAGATCTTCTGCCAGTAAACAGTCCTGAGCACTATCTTCCGAAGGTAAACAGCTAAAATTGTCCACACAGTGATGTTGATTGCTACACGGCAACATCGATCACTCATCTCCTAGACAAGTCAGTGTTATCACAAGAAATACTTCAGGAAGCAAGCTTTGAGACAAAAAACGAAGGATTCTCACATGTACCCCCTGCTCCTCACTGGCAGAGCAGTGTGAGAAGCTGAAAAGCCCTTGGTTCTGTGCAACCACTTCTCTGAAACAACTGAAATATTGGTGCATTATCAACGCTATTTTGATCAAAAATCCAAAGTGCAGCACCATTTGAGTATCTGTGAAGAAAATTCAAGCATCTGGGCTAGGTAGGTGATGTGGGTATAAATGCAAACATAATCACAATTTTGTGAAATGCGAGGCTACTGAAGGTCATCTGTGCAACTTTCTACCCTATGTAAGAGATTTAGTCCTTAAACAAAAAAATAAAAAAAGCTCTAAAGCATTAGAATACCAGTTAAAATGTATTAACAAAACAGTGAACTGCAAAAGAAAATAAATCGCACTGAGAAATATTTCCAATGCCTTATATTTTACAGTTTCTGAAATTAAAAATGAAGATGTGAGGAGTGCAAGGTACATTTACAATGGTCATTATTCTAGTTTAGTACATCTGTTACTCCATTCTCTAGATTTTGAATCGTGTGATTATTGTATTTCAGAGGAACTTAATGAACAAAACTTAATGAACTTAATGGAACTAAAAGCTACTACTTCTAGTGTTGATGCCATTTTAGTTTAACACCACTAACACTTACTAAGTGAACTTAATATATTTTTTGTCAGTTTGAAAACTATGTTAATTATGTACTATATTTTCTCCAGACCATGTGCATAATTCTGTTTATGTTAAGGACAATATGGCGTTCAGAGTAGATGCTTTAATCTCTAGTGGCTCCTTTATTTTTCTTTGAAAAATTACCCATGTTTCAACTGATTGTGATGTATTTTAAAAGACCATATAGTGTATAGTGCTTTCTGATCTCTGCTGGATCACAAAGTAAACCCTTGGATGGTCTGTTCCAGCAGAAACATTAATCAAAGCAATTTGTCTGAACTGATTCATCAGGGTTGGCAGCTTTCCACAGTATTGACTTTTTTTACAGTTCCAGGTAAGGTAACTTTTTGTTTATTGTGTGTTTATTTCTTATTGAGATATTTTAAAAGTAAATTATCTCTGAGAATGAAAATCAAAATGGTGCAAATAAAGTTTTACAGCACATGTTAATTCTTGGCGGAGTCACTCTAAATCACTTGCCATAAGGAAATAGTTACTTCACAGTATTCAGCAATGTGCTTTAACTCAGTCCTGTTTTCTGTATGTTACTTTGTTAACTACATCTTGCATGAAATTCCTTTTCTGTTCTTACTGTGCTAGAGAAGTTTTAAGTAATTAAATAATGCACAAGCATGTATTTTCAGCAAACTTGTATTTTCAGAATCTGAAAAAACAAGTTTCTAATTATCACTAAACTGAGGAATTGGCTAGTTGTGAAGATATTAGATGGTGTTACTGGAGATGTATGGGAAAGAGACTTATCATTTCTTGGAAGTGGTGCTGGTGAAGGTCTAGTCTTTGCTATCAGCCTGTCAGGCACATCTATTGTTGAATCCTTTCCCAAGGTTGGGATGAAATAGGGTGGAAACGTGTTCTGGCAAAATGGGTCCATGCAATCTAACACCTGCCACTCATAAACTTGGAATGATGGCATGCTGTATAGTGAGCTAGCTAATTTGTGCTGCATAGATCTTCCATAAATAGAGATGAATCACTTCTCTAATGAGACATACGAGAATCCCTCTGATGAGTTTTGAATAAAAAAACCAAAAAAACAAAAAAACTTTTAATTAAGATTTTACTCATAGATTGTGTAAGATTTAACAAAAAAAATCACATGTTGAATATATAGAAATTGGTGCAGCTGTTATCTCATAGGAAATAATATTTACTTTCATATTTAAAATAAAAAATTAGACAAAATATTTAAATTTTGTTATGATTTTAAGATTTTAACACATTCCTACTTGATCTCTTCTGAAGTAATCTTAAAATTAGGTGGATATTTCATACCAGTAGTCAAAAGCAGACAGTGCTTATGATAAGCAGTATCTTTTAAGCTGAGGGACTTCTTGACTTTTGGTAATTGTGGCTAAGGCTATGTTGATGCATTATAGTACAGTATAAATTTATAAGTGTGTTATATAACTGTCTTGTATGCTGTAAACTGCGCCTTACCTAATACCAAAATCCTACTATGACAATGAAGCTTTGGTTTTTAAGAAAGTACTTTAGAGAAGAAATACACAGCCAAAGCACAGCAGGACAACCAAAGCTTAAGAAAAAATGTAAAAATGGAGAGAGGGCAATGTGCCTAAAATTAATAGGTAATTTTAACCTGTTCAGAATAGCATTCAATCTATCAAAATCCATTCAAACAATTTTGTAATTCTCTAGGAATGTAAGTCTCTATGAAGATTGTCAACTAGTT